CTAAAAAAAATTACAACTAAAAATATATCTTTCATATTAAAATATGATTATTTTTTTTTTCTCAATGTTTTTTCATATGATTGAGCATAATTGTACGAGTAACGAAACCTTTACCGCATAATGTACAAGTATAAGGACGTTCACCGGTATGATAACGTCGATGTACCGTAAGTGTTGATGCTTGTGTAAATGATTTTCCACACATTGCACATAAATATGGCCTTTCACCAGTATGTATACGTTGATGTACAACATAATATTTACGATGAGTAAATCCTTTACCACAAACATCGCACACCAATGGTCTTAAACGATGTACCGATTTATGACTATTGAGCAATTCAGGTGTTGAAAATTCTTTAGTACACGAATCACATGGATATGAGGGTGTTAAATTTGTCGTTAATAATCCCGATTGTGTACTCATAATATTAATTGGTGTTGCTGGTATTATTGCAGTTGGTGCAATTGTACCAACAGCACGACAATCTGAATTTGTTTTATGAGTTTTTGCATGATGATTATAAAGATTACGTGTTTCAAAGCGCATAAAACATTTTGGACACGAATAAGGTTTATCTTGACCTGTCTCGTGTAATTTTTTATGACGCTCAAGTAATGTACGATAACGAAATGTCGCTTGACATTGATTGCAGGTAAATGTTTTTTCATTATTTATTGTTGTTTGAACGTATGATGTTGATGTGACATTATTCATTGGCGATATTGATGATGTTATTGGTGATGTGTGTGTCACTTCGTGCATTCTTAAATGACTTTGTGCAAGAAATGTCCTTGAGCATATTTGACAAGTGTATCTTGGTTGATTATTAATATTATTATTATCAATATTACCACCACTAGGGACAATATTCATTGGACGATTATCAATTTCCTCACGTTGAGGATGACTTGTTTTTATATGATAATTAAGTTTAAGAATACTGCGAAATTCGAGACCACAATTTGGACATGAATATGATTCACCGAGAATTTGTACATGCTCATGAAGAACAGGTTGTTCTGGATATAATACAGAGAGATGTGATAATGTAGGAGACATCTGTAAACTTGTGGGCATCATCGTTGGATGATTCATGAAGACTGATGGTTGAAGATAATTACAGCAGCCGGCTAATCCGATATCAGCCGATTCTGGTGAAGGCGATAATATTTGTCGTAGCATGCCCGATAAACCGCCAAATGTACCACCATCTCTGAAATTGACAAAACCCAAGGACATTGCGGCGAATGACAGAAACACACAAAAAAAAATAAAAAATATATATATTTCTCTTTTAGATCATTTTTTTTTTAAATTTCAATATTTTGTTTCCTTATTTTGCGATATTTATCCGAAAAATTGTCACTTAATTAAATTATCTCAATTTTTTAAAATATTTATTTTCTAAATTGACAATTTTTAAGGGAGCATATGCAAAGAGGGAAAAAAATGAGCTTTACTCAATTTTTTTTTTAAATAAAAAAACGAGTATATTTAGAAATTTTTGCATGACATTAAGTAACTTTTGAAGAATATTTGTCATTTCATAGAAAATAATAATAATAATAATAATAATAATAATAATAATAATAATAATAATAATAATAATTATTATTATTATAGTTATGACTATTTTAATAAAATAACAAGTTTTTTTTTCTGGTAACACGAGACAAAATCATCTAAAATAAAAAAAAATTTCGTTAGCAGATGATTTCAATTTCCGTGTAAAAGAAGAATTTTGCAATTAAATTTTTTCTAATAACATAATTTTTTCAAAATCTTTTATTCACATCGAAGTTAATCATTCTATTAATAAAATCATTTTTTTTTAATTTTAATTGATTTTGTCTCGAGTTATATCAAAAACGGTTGTTTTAATAAAATTATTATTATTTTTTTTTTTACAAAATAATTATTAAATATTCTTCAAATATTATTTAATGTAATGAAAAATTTTTTCAATAAACACGTCTTTTTATCAGAAAAAAAAAATTCGAAAAAAAACTCATTTTTGCCCTTTTTGACTGTATATAATACCCACTGGAAAAAAATTTATTCGATTCAAATAATCAGTTTACTTGACTATTATAAAATACATATATATTTATTTGTTTTAATAATAATTATTATAAAAATATTTTTTTTTGTATTAAATTATTATTTGAGTCAAATATTTGTTTCAAATACAATTTATTTAATACAAAAAAAAAATTTTATTTGGTTAAATAATAAAAAATAAATATTTGATAATTGTCAAATAACTTATTTTTTTAATCAAATACATTTTTTTTAGTGCCTTAATGACAAATAAATAATAAATTACAAAATAAATTTGACATTTCTGAAAAATGATCTTTTTTTTAAACAAAAATTTACGTAAATAAGACGAGCAACAGGCGGTGATACATTTATAATAATATTGAATTTGGCTTGTGTGTTTTCTGCATTGTGGTCGTGCAAAGTGCTTGGGCATTGCAATTTTGTATAACATTTAAGTTTCAATTATATCTCGTATCGAACTTAGAGAGAGAGAATTTTATCCTTTATACATACATTACCTTTCCTTTTTTATTCAATAATTAACTGTTCGCAAATATTAAAAAAAATATTCACCTTCACGAGGTAAAATTAAAAAAAAAAAATTCGGAACGTTAAATCCTATTAGCAAAAAAAAAAAAATCACAAAAAAATTCGGGATATTAAATCCCATTTGCCAATTTAATAAATTAAATGGCCAAATGAAGAAAAGAAAAACGAATTTTATGAAAAAATTAATTTTCGCAATAAAGCATACAAACAAATCGATTAAATAAAAATTAATTTTATAATTAAAATACCTAAAAAAAGAAATAAATATTTCATGATATAATATAAAAGTTAAAAAAATATACATCACCTTTAAAAATAATCCAGTGACGATTTACTCCAAGTCCAAAATTTTTCCAGGTTTTAAAGAGATGATCTTCAGTTATTCACACTAATATATTTGCAAAAGTATAATTCAATAATTTGAATATATAAAAATGTTTAAAAAAAAATAGATTTCTAATTAATATTGATTAATATAATTAAAATATTAAAACAATCAATAAAAACCTAATATAAATAAAATAATGTTAATATCATTTATTAACATCATAATAATAATTAAATTTTTTATCCATTTTTATTTCCAATCAATTAAATTTTTGCAAATATATCCTATTCCTCTTGATTGAATTCACTATATAAAAAACGCGTTTTTTTTTGGTCGACAAAAAACTAGACCGAATCAATAAGAACATTCTTTCTTGGGCCAAAGAATTTCAATGACTCATTGATATTGTTCAAAAAAAAAAAAGTAGCAATGAGGAAAAATATTGAAAATTCAAAAAACGACCCAAAAAAGTTAATATTACTTATTGAAAGTAAAAAATATATCGCAGCCATGGAAAAATGGCGCAAATTTTTTTTTTTAAAGGCATACGCGACAAATAAATTATAGAAAACGAAGGGAGGTGGATAAAAATAATTCAGAATACTGAAAAATTGGTACTATTAGAAAAAAAAGTACCTTCAGTTTCCGTGTAAATTATTTAAAAAAAAGCATCCCGGTAAAAAATTCTTCACAAAATATTTTCAAAAGAATAAATCAGAATTATAATATATATTTTTTTTAAAAAAAAGAAAATACTCGCCTTTTAATTCAAAAATCCATTTTTCTTCTCTCTTCTCTCAATAGACGAATCCTCTCAGCATCGTAGTCCTGCTTCAATTTTTTTTCTTTTTTTGTTTCTTTTTCTTTGTTCATTTTTTTTTTTTTTTTTTTTTTAAATGTTTGAAGTTCCTTCTTGTGAAATCTTGCGAAATTCCGCCATTTTTTCATTGTTGATCAGACACTTTATAATAATTTCATTTAAATTTCCATTCGAGGATCCAATGAATTTTCTTTTTTTTTCTGATCAAAATTAAACCCGAATTTTGTCTCCATTTTTTTTTTTTTTCTTTGGAGAAATTTTATTTTTGTTTATAAACGCATTTCAAAGAAAAATTTATCTGCCCGAGAAATAATTCTGAATTTTTTTTTGTACCAAAATTGGACATTTAAAAAAAAAAACGAGTTTGACCTAACTTAAAATTCTAAATTTTTTTAAAAAAAGATAGGATTTTCCTTTTTTAATATCGTTTGTGGAAATTATCGATCGTCAGTGATTATTTCAACCAATTTTGTTGGTCGAGTGCGGCATTAGTGCCTTTACGTAAGCGTGGGAAATATTATATCGACAACATGTAGACATCTTTCTGTTTTTTTCATCTTTTTTTTTCTGGACAGAGAGATTAATCCCTTTTTTGTTAAATTTAAAAAAAAATTGAATTCATTTTAAATTAAAACTTATTTTTTGTTAAATACCCTCTGTCCATTTTTTTTTACATGTAACTTTTAACTTGACGTTCGTTTCAATGATTTAGAGTAATCTTTTTAAAATTTCAATTTCAAAAAAAATATTTCATTTAACTTTCTAAAAAGATTTCATCCAAACGTACGCCGTGTACATGCTAATATTGCTGCGTACACATAAATGAAAACAGATATTTAGCAATTTGTTTGTTTTTTCAAGTTAAAAAAGAATTTAATTTTAACATTTTGTTTAGTTTTCAAATATAACGTTTTAAATGACCAAATTGCTAAATATCAAAGAGTTAAAGATGGTTGTGGAGTGTGTGCGCACTTACCTTAAAATTTACTTTGTCAAAAAAAGAGTTAAAAAAAGAAAAATTGTAAAATAAATTAAATTTTGATAATTGAAGAGATGAAATCAAAATTGTAAATAGTTTTAATTTTTGAAAAATAAGTTTGAAAAATTTTGAAATAGAAAGAAAGTTTTAAAAAAAAGGATAGAAATTTATGAATAAGTGGTGTTAATGCAAAATTGTTTGTGAATACCACAACAAAAAAAACATCTTTAGCTCTGGAATTTTTTTTTGCAAATTTTAAATAAGAACGAAAACTTACCCAGTCTTGTTGTCGGCGTTGGCAATCTGTGGCATCGCCATTTCAGGCATTTCGGTGATTTTTTGCTGCTGAAGTCCTGAGGGTCCGGCTTCATCGCACGGCAAAGATACATTAACAAACGTCGTTGGTTCCACTGTTCGATTATTAGGATCATCCTCATTCTCTTCTTTCACAGGTAGGCCTTTAAAAAAATCAAAATTTTCAATAAATTTCGTAAATTAATTATATTTACTAACTATTTAAATTAAAAAAAAGGATTTAGAATAATTTTTTTTAAATAAAAAGTTGTTTTTACCATCGTCTGCATCACACTCGTCGTCAGACTCATTTTCCTCATCATCGTCCGAGTCTTCATCTACATTGTGATGGACGTTTGTTACTTGATTTTGTGAGATTTGGTCGTGTGTTGATTGTGTACTGGTACCAGGAACTGCCTGTATTGTTTGAACAGAACTCCCACTGGTATCCATTGATACTGAGGTCATTGGTTGATTGGTAGTGGAAATAATGATGGGCATACCGAGACCCATATTGTCCATCATTCCCATGCCCATATTATTTTGATGTGTTCCTACTTGCAACACATTTTCATCTAATCTATTTTCACTAGCCTGTTGCTCCTGCTTCATTAAACTCTGTGAAATAAATTTAGAAAAACAAAAATTTATTTTGCGCAAATTAAATTGAAAAAAAAAAATTTGACAAGGGATTAAATTTAGAAACAAAATTATTATTCTCTGAAATTTTAATTTAGAATAAGTGTACCAATTACGGTGAGTTTATAAATAAACAACTATTATTACTATTATATTTTATAACTGTTGCCAAATGATTAAAAAAAAAATTATTTCGATCTTTTTTTTTTTTTTTAATACAATTATAATGATGCATATTTAAAAAATTATTAATTTATTTGAGATTAAATTTTTTTTCGCGCTGAAATTGAAATATTTTTAAGATTTCCATTGGCTCCAATTTCGGCGGGCAAAGTATTTTTAAAATACGAAATTGATACAAACGCGCCGCAATTGAAAATTATGATATTAGTTTTAATTTCTCATATTTGTTTAAATAATCGATTTTTGTAACGTTAAATTTTTTTTAAATATCTAACATAACCTTTTAGTTTAATAAGTCTTAAATTGACTAGAAATGTCGAATTTTCTATTTCAAAGGTTTATCCTAATTTTCCAATCAATTTTTTTTGAATTTTTTGCCAACTTACCGGATTGAGGACTTCCGTTACGTAACCCTGTTTGTCCTGCATATCGACGTCGTCGAGCCATTGTAAAAGTTGCTTTTCGGCGTTTGCAGTGGTATTCCAAAATTGATAAAATAATTCTAGTTTATACATACAGTCGTCACATATTTTCTTAGGTAATTTGTCTTCTCTTGATACCTTAAGTAAAAAAAAAACAAATTTCTAAATTACAAAATTTTCTCTAATAAAAAAAAAAAAAAAATAAAACTCCTCACAATTTATTATTATTTTCATAAAGAGAAAAAGAAATTTTCCTTTTTTCCGAATATAAAATTTTAATGTAGTCTAATCGAAACTTTACAACGTGATCAATAATTCGCTTTCGCAACTTGGAAAAACAATTGAAGCATCAATAAATATATATATCTAAAATTCAGTCGGACATCTGTTGAATTTACTGTGTATTGGGTACAGGTGGTTGGTCGGTAAAAAAATAAAAAATTAACCCTAATTTGAAAAGAAATTTTTTTTTTACCAACAAAGAAAAAAAAAAAATTCCATCGACCTTTTTCCAAGCTAAGTAGACAAAGGGCTTTCGCGAAATGGTGGACAGTTCATTGAAACGAGAATGAAAGAGAGAGAGAGAGAGAGAGAGAAAGATATAATCGATCTCTGCGTAGACGCCATTAAAAAAAAACCCTACACAAGAAAATCGCATTTTCGGCGGTAAAATTTCGCTTGTAATCTAAAAAATTAATTTTCTCTTATAAATTCCCGTTAGAAAAAAATTACAAATTTTTTCATCAAAAATTGAAAAACAAAACAAAAAAAAAATAAAAATTAAAAAATTATCGAAAACCATTTTTTTTAAATTTAATAGAAAAAAAAGGTATAGATGAAAATTAACAAAAAAGAAATTATCAGCATAAAACGATTCATAGCGTCGGTGAACAAAAGAAATGGGGGGGGGGAGGGAGGGGAAAAGAATGATGCTTAACATTGTGAAAATCCGCCTTCAATATTACAATAATAAAAATACTAAAACAATGATAATGGAAATTATGTGAATAACAAAAATTTGTAATAAATTAAATAAATTTAAGGTGAGTGTACATGATTTTCCTCAAGTTTGTTTCACACACAGCAAAATGGCGGAAGGCCTTAATGATGGCGTAGTTGGCTTACCTTGACCGGTAGACAAGAGGCAATTTTCAGGAATACTTGTCTCGCGTCACCTTCATCTTCAAATATAGATATTCCAACGCGGTCTTTCACTAGACACAATCGACACAAATCCAAATAGTCGAGGGACGACATTTTATTGTTAAAAACGCCAGTATGAACGCAAGCCGCGCCCGTAGACGCAAACACAATTTCGATCCAAGCCGGAGAGGAAACGCGTCGTTATTCAGTCGGTCTTGTTCGGTTGCTGACGTTTCGTGTATTTTCGTTAATATTCGTCTATTTTCGACTTAATCGGACATTTCCGTTATATTTCGGCGCGCAATCCATGTATCGATCCAATTGGTTGAGTGGGGTGAATATCCGGTCATGACTGAATTTGAATGTGTTTTTGAAAAAAAAAAAAAAATGAGAAATTAAAAACAATTTTCTTTTTATAAAAGAAAAAAGTCTTTAACTAAAAAATACCAATTTAATGGGTTTTTATTTTAATATAATTATTATTAAAATTAATAAAAGTCTGATATTGAATAAATTAATATTTTATTTATAGACAATATTTTAATAGAAAATATTAAATTATCGATTTTTGTTTTAAAAAATAAGAATACATTTTTTTTAATTATTTAAAAAATTAAAACTTATTGTAATATGTTAATATAATGTAGGTGAAAGGAATTTTGAAATAAAATAGATTTTTTTGAAAAAAATTTATTTCAAGAACATAGTTAACAGTATAAACTCATTAAAATAAATTAACAATATAGAAAAAAATAAATGCTAATTATTAATCGTAGTTGAACTCTCAGATTCCAGAATTGAATTTTTCTCAAGAAATTTATTATGAAGACATTCAGGGCATTGTTTTTTCTTTAAATGATTCACCATGAGTTTTAATTTACACATCTGAAAAAATATTAATTTCATTAGATTAGAAAAAAAAATTATTTATTCGATTTAAAAAAAAAACTATAAATAAATTTAAATATAAAATAATTAATATTTATTTAAATTAATTTAATTAAATAAATAATAGAAGATGAAACCTTATTCTCTAAACGGGCATTTATTCGTTTTAATTTCTGCACTAATGGTCGTAAATCTTTGGATTGTTTGCGTTGTTTTGTGATTTCATTGCTTTCATGTTTTTGCGCATTGCGCCTTATTTTTGAACACATTGGACATCTTGAATTTAATTTTTTAGTCAAAATTAAACAATTATCCGAATGGCTGTAAATATTAAAATAAAAATTGAAATTAAAATTTTGCAATAAAATCAATACAATTTTATATGTAAAATTTTTTTTTTTTAAAGAATTGAAAAAGAATATTTACTTATTTTGATCAAATCCAATTCCCAAGCACCATTTCAACATTTCCAATTTACAAAGACCTTTGCAAACGTCTGCAAATGAATTTAATTGAATATCATGAGAAATAAATTTTACTGCTTCATAGCCGACAGAAATCTGTAAAAAAAAGAAGAGAAATTTTAATTATAAAATTAAAATAAAATAAATTTTATAATAATTTTTAAATACTGACCATTGGCTTCAAATTCTTATCAATAGAGAGAAAAATTGGAAATTTTCTAAAAGTATAATATTGTGTGAATAAAATTTTATCATCCTCCTCTATTTTATAAGCCCAACCACATGGAAGTGAATTTTGTTTTAAATCTGCTATTAATTTTAAACGATTGTAAATAATATTCGATGTCGAAGACATAATTGTTGATGATGTTTTCATTTCTTGTGATTGTTCAGTAATTTTTTGTTTCAATTGTATCACACTATTTAATGTTTTCTCATCATGTGAATTTAATGAATCTGTCGAAACATCAGGAATTGAATTGGCAAAAGTAAATGGCATAGATTTTTTTGCAACTATTGGATTTGTAATTGAAGATTTTGCAGAAATTGGAACTAACGATGATATGGGAATTACATTTGATGGATAATTCAATTGCGATTTAACATTATGAATTGAAATTAATTTTTGATTATTTTGAGAAAGTGAAGTTACATTAGAAATAATGGGATATTTTAATGTAGGTGAAATAGAATTTTTTGAGTTAACGGAAATAATTGATGAATTAATTGGTGGAGTTAATGATTCTGATGTAACGACTAAAACTTGATTTTTAGCCGATTGTAATTGAAGTATTGGTGATATTTTATTAATTTCTATTTTTTTCTTATCAGAATTAATTGAATAAGGAGTGAATTTCACATTTTTTTTTGGCTTTAATTTTTGAATTTGTTTTACTTCTTTAAATTCATCAATTTTTTTAATTGGCAAATTTATTGTCATTTGATTATTATTTTCTGAATTAAATTTTCTTTTAATGTCCATATACGTGTGATCTTGATATACAACATTATTTTCCAAATTATTTAAATTTTCTTTTGATTTCTCCTTTGCCTTGTTAAAAATCTATTAAATTGTAAATAAAAGACAAATTAATAACGAATAGTTTTGAAATTAAAAAAAGTATCAATTAATAATTCAAATTAATATATAAAAATACCTGATATTTATCATTTTCCAATTCTTTGGCGCTTAATGGAAGAGCTTTGATTTTCAAAACCCAATTCCATAATGGAAGTGTACAAATATTTTGATGTGACGATTTTTCACTAATAGTCTTTTTAATATCTGACTCTTTAAAATGTAAATCACAAATTTTATACGTATTAATATTATTTACCAATTGTTCCAAAACTGGATGAATTTTAATAAGTGCCTCATTCCATTTTACACGTAACTCCTTTAACTGTAATAATAATTTTTATTAATTATCTTTTATTTTTATATTTATTAAATAAAAACAAAATTATTTATGAATATGACTAAAGAAAAAAATGACAACATAACCTAACAAAATAAAATTAATTAAATTTTAAATAAAGAAAACAGGAGTAGATAATAATATATATATATTTTTTTAATTTCAAATTTTCTAAATATACCTGTGGAGCAGAAAAATAAGCTCGTTGTGACAAAAATTCTTTATCATATTTCGCATTTTCCGTGGTACATAGTAAACAAATATTCTCTTGACTCATTGTCAATGATTAATTAATAAATAGACACCAGTGAATAATTATTAATACATGATTAGATTTTTAAATATAAATATGTAGAAAATTTGAGAAATAAATTTATTTCCAAATCACAAACAAAAACAAAAATCAGCTGTCATGACCCGTCAACAAAATAAACTGCGCTTGCGCGTCTTGTCGCAAATGGCTTAAAATAAAATTCCCTATACTAGTAACTTATGGTAACTTTTGAATTTAAAATTTTTCTAACCTCAAATTTTGGGCATGTAAACAAAAAAAATATGACTGATGTGGAAATCTAAGCATTTTTTTTTTTGCAAATTTAACATAAATAATATTGTTTAACTAATATTTCTAAAAGGGGAATTTTTAATAATTGAAAAATCATTTTCTGATCACAGTTGCCATAGAAACGGTGTCAAAACAGTGAAAAAAAAAATTGATTTTCTTTTGTGTAATGCGTGTGATATGTGTTACTTTTGTTTTGTCGGCTTATTGTTGTTTATTATAACGTTGAGTGTTTTTAGTTTTTAATTGAATTGTATTAGAAAAATAATAAAAAAAAAGACAAGAAGAAAAAGAAGAAAGTTTAAAGAAAAATATACAAAATGGAAGAATCTAATGATAATATACCTCGTCAATCGGAAATTAAAGGACAAGCGTGGCAAAAATTATCTAAACAAGCGCCTGTTGTTGATGAGGCAAAATTAGATACAAATTTTGAAATTCTCGAAGATGAAGATGGAGATGCAGAATCACAACAAGCTACATATCAAATACGACCAAAACTTTCTGAAAAGTAAGTAATTCAATTTATATTCACATTATATATATTTCTTTTAATAATTTTTCTGAATTATTTTGAAAAATTATTAAACGCTCAAATGTAAACAATTTGTTTTATTATTATTTTCAAATGTTTTTGTTTTTATTTTGAACGTTTATTATTTTCAATTTTGTTAATGTATTATTTTTCAACACTTTGCACTTTAATTTTACTTTCTCATCTATACCTTATACAATATTTTTCTATTTTTTTTTTTTTGAAATATTGAACTCTTTTTCACCAAAAAAAACCTTTATTATTAACATTTTATTTAAAATATATTATTGCTGAGAATTTCGGGAAAATTTAGGTGCTTCGTAAAATTAAATTTGAAAAAAAAATAATTCAAATTCAGGTTTAAAACTTTAAATGCAAGGGAGATAATACACAATGTATTGTACGATCAACTATCAACAAAAACTTTCAATGAAGCGGAAGCTTATCAATGGAGTAAGGAAATAGCGGATATAATAAAATATAAAATGAGGGGTAATTTTTTCTTTTTTCAAAATGTCCAATAATTTAAATAATTGAAAAAAAAGACAAAAAATTTTCTTATTAAAAGAAAATATATTTTCAGAATTTAAATCCAATGAATACAAATACATTGTAAACGTTGTTATGGGCGAACAACGTGGCGCAGGTGTAAGAATGGGCGCGAGATGTTTTTGGGATGCTGAAGCTGATAGTTATGCTTTTGATAAGTTTGTAAATGTAAGAAAACAAAAAATTTTCTTTTAGAAAATAGAAAAAAAAATTTATTTTTCCCGAACGAATAAATAATATTAATTAATTAAATTATAATTAAATTCCTAAATAATTGAAAAATATTGTTAAATTATTAATTAAATTAGTAAATTAATAATTTAATTAATAAATTAATAACAAATTTAATTCAATTTAATTATTGGCAGTAGTTTAATTAATTGATTACGTGTATTTTTTTTTTTTTTATAGGACTCGTTATTTTGCGTTGCTACAGTTTATGCCGTACATTATTATTGAGATGCTCTAATTTAAAACAAAAAAAAGAAAGAAAATCAAACAGGACATTTATTTAACTGGAAGACAACATTTTTTTATTTGAAAGGATCTACAATAATGCGCCATTTTTAAAAATTTCTAATTATCGTTATTTTTTTTTAACATTTAACATTATTTTTCACTGCAAAGATACACCAAAGTCACAATGCTCTCTTTACATATGATTATTATTAACGGGAAACATATATTTTGCGTTCAATTTGTGAAACGCATTCGACTTCTTTTTTTGTGTGTGTGTGTGCTTATTTATTATTATTATTATTATTATTATTAATATATGTATTATATAATATTATTATAGCACTATAATTCACGGTCTCAGGTTTACGAAACTATGATTAAAAATAAAAAATTAGTTGAAATGAATAAGTAACAATTAGTGTTTAATTAAAAGGGGGAAAAATGCATTTTTAATAATGTTCTTTTTTTCATAAATCAAATTTGATATAATTCAAAAGGGAATAATTGGAAAAATTAGACAAAAAAAAATTTTCAGAAAAATCGGGTCTATTTTCTTTTGAGTTAAATTAATATTAAAATTTTTTGTTAATACAACTATTGATTATTATTAACAATTAAAATTCTTAAAGTCAATTTATATAAATACACACATACGATACATTCATAATTATTCGCTACTATAGTGAATTTTTATTTTTTTTTATTTTAGTATTTCATGATTAATAATAATTGCTAATAAATTCTCTTTTGCTAATTTTGATTATTCGTTGCTTAAAAAAAATTATCATTATCGAATATTAATTTTTTTTTGTTTTTAGTTTCCGTTTTTTTTTTTTTTTTTTGATTTCTTTCACATAATGACACATGGTGCAGCGCAACACAGAGGCAAACAAAGAGGTATCGCTACTTTTCCTTTTTTTGTCTTCCATTTGGTTTCTGATTTTGATTCTTTTTCGTACATCCCTCGTTTCCATTCGCCCTTGTCCGACATGTAGGCACTCTGAAAAAAAAAATTTCTTTTATATTGAATGGATAAAATTTAATTAGAAAGAATATATTTTTAAAAATTAAGTTTTAGTATTTTAATTAATTTTTTTTTGTTCAATATTCTTACGCTTGAGTGTGCCATGGATCCACTTCCTTCTCGTTTCGCTAATTCTGATCCTGGGGGATAATAAACGGGAGATGCTGCCTTGCTCCTTGGAGGGCTATTCGTGAATTCCACTTCCTTTTTAATTATTTCCTTAGTTCTTCGTTGAACCCTTTCTTTTCGGTCAATTTCGTCTAAAACTTCTTTCTGCAAAATTTTTTTTATCTATATTTGCCTCTATTTTCTATTTTTTTGCGATGCATTGTTTTTTTTTTGCTTTCAATATAATTTCTGTTTTTTTCTTTTAATTATTAATTTTTGAATTGATTTATTGAATTTTTTTAGGGAAGGCGTAAATCGAGTTGCAGCTTATAAAGAATTGGATACGGAATTGGTGAAAAATGTGAAATTTGCAACAATGGATGGCGTGAATTTGACAATGTTCACAAAGAGATTATATTCGGAAAAATCGGTGAAAGAAGCTGATGAAGTTTGGACATGGGAATCTCTTTTCACTCAAGTTGCATCGGAACTTAATAGTGAAAATGAATAATACTTTTTTTTTAAATGTAAGTCTAGTAATTTATTGTTAATTATTTTAATTTTAATCAATGACTAATTTAATAATAACAGTGGCCTTACAATGTTTAAAGAAGTAAATAAAAAATACTTCTAAATTTAATATTAGAAAATATTTTCCTAATTTAAAAAATTTTATTTTTATTTTCTGTTAATTTTGTATATTGATCGAATAGAAATTCAAATAGTTTTTGTTTTATAATTAAAAAGGATTTATAAAAATTCTCACCTCGGTATCCGAGAAAGATGCCATTAAATCTTCAAGTTTAGCCGGTGGTCCCTCACAAATTGGTGGTTTAGTGGGATAAACTTTAACACCACCTGATGGAAATGGTTTTGGTCCATCGCAATTTTTACTTGATTTTTCAAATTTATAAATCGTTTCTTTTGCACTTGTTGTTTGTACAGGTGGATAATAAGTTCTAGGTGGACTGCGTGATCTACTACTGTAATGTTCTTCAATAAGTTCAGTTCTTGTTTCACTTATTGGAGCCTGTGGACTTTGATAATATGTTGCACTTTTAATTTCTGAATGATCAGTAAAATCACCTGGTCCACGTGGTCCATAACCATTAATATCAGAGAATTTTTCTCTTCTCGTTAAACTCGATGTACCAGTTGGTGATGGTGATCCATGATAAATAGTTGTTGCATTACTTGATGTATGATAAGTTGGACTTGTTGGCCTATAACCATGACGTTCTTCGCGAAAATATTTTTCCTCAGCGTGAACTGTTTTTGATTTTACTGGTACATCAATTGGTGAATATCTCACTGGACTTGCCGAACGATAACGACTTTGATCAACCTGAAAATAATTTTTGTTTAAATTTCAATTTTTCTTAATTTTTCAATTTTTAGAAATAAATTTTTATTTCTTTGAAATTACCTCATAGGTAATTGTTTTTTGAATTCCTGGATCTTTTGTAGATGAATAGGAGACGGATTTGTCGACATTTTTTGCCAATGAACTGTTCATATATGAATCAGGTGCTCCTGGAAGTTCATAAGTGTAGGTTTTGACGGTAGTTGTTACTTTAGTATTTGGACCCGGTGCCAAATTCGATGGTACCGCGGGTGTTACATCTTCAAGCACTTCGTGTGAGGTGCTAGTCAAAGTTCTTGGATTTGATCGATAACCTATGGGGAAATTAAAACAAAAAAATATTTTTTTTTCGAAAAAATATTGTTCAATTGTAAATTCCTTTCAAAGAATTTTTTTTTTTTACTTACTCTCTTTACTTTCTTGATAGAAAACATCTTTTTGGCTTGATCGAATAGGAGACGCTTGTCGAGTTCTGAGACTGCTGTCGCTGTAGGAGGTCTAAAAAAAATTGTTATTTAAAAGAAATCACTTTTATTTTTTTTTTTAAATACTAACCAATTCTCTAGTAACCGATTTTGGTTCTGGACTTCGATGTCTCGTACGCGATTCATCATAATTACGCTCTCGAATTGAATCGCTGTAAAAAAAACAAAACAATTAATTATATTCATCAATTTAAAATTTTCGTAAAAATGATAACTTTTTCGTTGACTAAATTAACAAAAGTTGCGAACGTTTCTCTTTTGGCAAATGTTCAGATATATTTTTGTATTTTCCTGACAAGAAAGTTATACTCACATCAAAGCTGGGCTGGTTAAATTGTCCCACGAATCTGAAATGTTTGGGGAAAAAAAAAAATTATTTTAATTTCTTTAAAAAATTAATTCTAATTTTTTCTAATATTTAGAATTTATTTAAAAATTTTTGCGTATCAGTAGGAAGTACGGTTATAATTAATATTTAATTTATGATAATATAAACTTGGCTTAAGATTTGAAATTAATTTCTGATGATGGAGACATTATTATTGTGCAAGAAAATTATATCGTAACAATTGGACTAAATCCACAAAATTGTACTGTAAGAAATAATTTTATTTTCTTATGGCATTTTTGTTTTTTAAATTGATTTTTACAAAAATTAACTATTCTAATTTTCGGCGAAAAAAAAGTACGATTAGTGCGCGTTTTTTTTTTGAGATCATAAATGTATTTTTATTCGCAATTATGTTTTATTTTGGTTGTATAGTTTTCAAGGCACGTCAATTAACCGTTCCTCTTGCTGTCAAGGCCGTTACAAACCAAATATGGAAATACTGTCTCAATGCAAGGTCCAGCGTTATTCTTTAAACTCTTGAAGAAAATGACTCTGTGCTCATTTTGTCAAATATAATTCTTTTCTTTTTATTTAAATAGAAAAATTTTATTGAAAATTTATTTATTTTTCCAATTTTTTTGTGGATTCTTTGAAAAAATTGGTTACGATTTACTGTTTTTTTTAGTTAATGAGTTTTTTAACTCACCCATTGGTTTTCCATCCAAATCCTTGTTATAGTGATAAGAAACCTGCTTATAAGCAACTGTTTTACTTTGTCCAGGTTGTACCTGAATAAAAATTGATAATTTTAGAAAACGGAATAAAAAGTAAAAAAAAAAAAACCTAAACACTGAATTAGAAATATTTTTATTTAAAAAATTTTATCACTCACTATCACAAAATGCGATAATTATTATTATTTGGAACGTTCTAGGGAAATTTTTGATCGATTAGAGAGAGAAATTGTTTTCCCAACTCAACAGGTGAATGAGAATAATGTGACTGAGGGGATATATAAGATCTGCAATTCTATAGCAGGTTTTTTATTAATTGACAAACAATCGACTGGAGCCAGTGGATGACGTGACACATAACAGCTGTCCGATGTGTTGCGGTCGATTTATCCCACGCTTTTCTTTCATGGGACCATGGTAATCTCAATTGCCAATCCAGCTTACCTTATAAGACTCGGATCAAACTGTTATATGTTTGCTCTCACAACCACTCAAACTATATATTATAGCTATTGTGAGTTTTAACAGTTTCACCGACTTTGGTGAGATTGTCGTTAACGAGTTTTGCCGATTTCAACGAATTTCTTCCCTATGCAGTTATTCACCTTCTTCTGAGATTATTTTTCCGTTTTTCAAATAATTGCTTTTCAAATAAAAAAAAAAAAAAATTCCCTAAGAAATATTTTTCTAATTTATTTAAAAATTATGAATTTCAATTTTTTAAATATCTATCGATAGATGGCTAGATTCGTTTCTCACAAGCGATAAAATTTTTTTTCTGTTTTCTATATTTATAATAAAGTATGGAAAAACTATATTTTTAAATTGTTTTTCAAGAATTTTTGGAATTAAATCGAAATTCGAAAAATTGAAGATAAAAATTTTACTTACATCTTGAAGTTCCTTATCTAGTAATTCTAAACCTGGAATACCCGATGGTGCGCCAGCAGGACCTGTCGTAATATATTTTTCGGTTGTCGTAGTCATACCTCGCGTGGGCGAAACAGTTCTAAAATCATCACACAGTTGAAAAAAGAAAACTTTTTTTATATTAATCAAATTAAAAAAAAAGAAAAACTATTTTTTTTTCTATTTGAAAATTAATTACCTTGTACTTTCAGAAACTGTTTTGCTTGAATTGGCAGCTGATCGGTATTCTACCAATGGCGAACTTGAACGTATTGTTCGATTAATTGTCGTTGTCTTCGTTTCTGGTTTTGAAACGGTCGTTTGAAGATCCTCTAACAGTGCATCTAGAAAAAAATTACATTTCTCGAATTACTCACCATAAAAAAAATATTTTTAAAAGAATTTGAAATATTTATAAATTCGATTTTAATTAATTTTTAATTTTTCGAAATTTTTGTTATATTTAAAATTTTATAGAAATTTTTCATTAAAATTATTATATTTTGAAAATAAATTACACAATGTATTACAAATTGCTCATTATTTTGTGTAAACTTCTTTAATGCGCGTGTAAATTTAGAATTAGGCTGCCAAGAAATATAGTCATCTTTGTTGAAATAAAATATAACTGACACTTTTATTTGTTTTAGTCACGATATACATATAGACTTAATACTATTATGAATTCTATAATTCCGTCTTTAGTCAGAAAATAGTTTTTATAATATTAAAAATATACCTACCTTATAATATGCGGCGAGATAAGACAAAAATTTAACATTCGACCGTTTTAAAATTAACACTTTTAAAAATTTTTTTACTTTTATTATACCCATATTGTGTAGCTTTGCGGTTTGAAATTAATTTGATACTAATTTTTTTCTGACCCCCTCATTCCAATTTTTGTTTTTTTTTAAATAACATGAAACTATAGGAGAAAAATATGTTACAAGGACACGCCATTAAAAAGAAAAGCGTGGGTGCATGAAAGAAACGTCATTCACAGAAATTCAAATAACCGTGCTCAATGCACGAAATTCGATTATTTTTTAGTCTCATCTCGTCTCAATATATTTTTATTTCTGTTCAACTATTTATTTTTTGCGCTAAAAAAAAATTATTAATTTTTAATTCTCCATTGAAATGAAAAAATTTAATCTCATCGAAAAATTGTGATAGAGGGGAAAATGATAGATTATTTTTAATTTTTTTCAAAATTTAGTTTTAATAATTATTAAAATTGTTTGGAAATTTTTTTTTTAGTAACAATTGAAATAGCGTTATTCCATAAATAAGTCTTTGCGAATTGCATATCAAGATTCTGATGAAGTAAATCTCTATTATTAAACAAGGACAAAAATTAAAAATTGAAATAATAATAAAATATTCTAAATTTAAGAATAAATGGCATTTTTGAAATAGATGCCAAATATTCTCAATTTTAGAAATCAATGATAGAAAAAATTTTGATTTTATTGTATCATTTTGATTCCAAAAAAAAAACAGATTATTTTGCATTCGTACATCGTTTAATGTGTAAAGCATTTTTTTTATAGTCTAAATAAAAAGATATATATATCTTTCAATTATAACACTTATGGGTATATTTCATACAGTACATATATATATACTTATATGCGAACCTTTCACTTTTCAGTAAGAGAATTATTAGATTAAAATTTTTCTTCCCTGAATATAAAAAAAAAATATTTACAAAAAAAAGTTATGAAAATAAAATTTTTTAATAAACATAAAAAAAATATATATATCTTCTATTTATCTCATGGTGAATAAATATATGTATCTCAAACAAGATCGATATATTTAATTATTTTTGTATATGTATCGTGTGTTGTAACATTGATATATACGTATTTTAGATACGTAGGACGTATATTTTTAATGACGTAACGTGTACTCCCACACGGCATTTTTAATTTTTCATTTAAATGCATACTGTCAGATTCGTAAATCAAAAATATAGCCTTGAAATCATTGATAAATAAACACTAATTTTATTTTAATAAAAAAAAGAGTATTTAATATCGTAACAAAAATGCTGCATTAATTTTGATTTCTTTTGAAGAGCAAAAAAAAAAAACTGTTATTATAGTAACGGTTACCATAGCAACCGTTACTATGGTAACTAAGAAGTAAAATTTTTTTTACTTCCTATTTTTGTTAGTGAAAAAAAATTGTATCTTAATTTTTATTTTATATTATGATTTCGTTATTTTTTTTTATATTATTATGATTTTTAATTTTTTTTCTCTTGTTCTAGTATTTTCGAGAGACTTTGAAAGATTTGTTTTTTAATGGCAAAAACTCGATTAAATTTTGAATGGAAAAAATAAAATTAGGCCTCTGTTGCCACATCGATATAAAGTTTACCTAAGTTGTTCTCGAGGCTGCTGGCCGTGGCTGCTGAGTGGCTCTTTCCCGATATAGGACCACTGTGAGTCATAATTTTTTTACTCATGTGTGAGCTTTCCCTCGTCGTCGATGACATTGCGACCACTTTGCAAGCCCTCTCGCTCCAACTCTTTAAAAAAAAAAAAAAAAATATTATATTAAAAAACATCAATTACATTTTTTTTCAGTTAATAACAAAATTGCTGATTTTGTCAAGTTTTTGCAAATTCAAAATGGATATAGAGAAAAAAAAATCAAACTGCCAATGAAATTGAATATTTTTTGAAATTGAATTTTTAAGATCACTAATTACGAATTTGATTTGTTTTTAAAAATGTCGAATCAAATATGCCGAACTAGTTTAAATGAAAATGTATAATTTTTGTTTTATTTTGTCTGATTTTATATATGTAAATTCCTCCATTGTCATACATTTATGTTAAAATAAAATGTCATTGAATATTCGATGTCAATGTCGAAACATGTATTGTTGAAAAAAAACCTTTTACTTTGCAAGGATTCACAATACTTTTCTTTATTTTATTTTTTTTGAAATCTTTCTCGAATCCTTCTTTCAACCTAATATGGAAGTTTGTGAGAAATTCGTCAGGTCATATTACCTTGTTAAATGTAGATCAAGGTCAATATAAAATGATACATGTTTATATATATAAAAAAAATTAAAATTCAACAATTTATATATATACCTATTACTTAAATTGTTGAATTTTAATTTTTGAAAAAAAACTAACAATCGTTAGTTGTTGTTATTGTACAATTAAATAAAATTATACATCTTCTATGCAAATTTATATAATGATGTAAAGCTTCTTCTAACTATATACTCTACTTTTTTTTTTTTAATACTCATTCCGTGAATAAAGGACTACTGTTCGTTTCCTCAAACGAGTTATTGTGAGCGATGAAAAACTAACGAAAAAAAAAAATTAAATAAAAAAAATTAACGTGCGTGTTGTCTGTCAATTAAGTCATTTCAATTATAAATCTTGGAAAACGATTTCAATGAACACATTTTCTGTAGTATTATTAAAATATTTTACATATATTGAGGCTTTATTATAATAAAATTACATATTTTTTTCTTTTATTGTAATTTTTGCAAAAAAAAGACAATAATTTGATAAATTGTCAATTCTATATAAGATATCTAAAAAATTTATATAATAATAAAATTTATTTTATTTAATTTGTAAATTAATTTTTCTCAAAAAATAAAATTTATTTTCTTTAATTTTTAGTTTAATTTTAATAAAAAAAAAAAATAAACGTTGATTTACAAAAGTTTTGCAATTTTTTACATTTTAGTGTATATTTAATTTTTTCAAAAAAGGAAAAGAAAAAATTTTTTTTTCAGTTCTAATATAAATCTATGGTGTTTCTTGGAATACATTCTCCTTGGCCTCTTGGCACCAATCGCTACTAGACGATCACGATGTTATATATATATATTACCGGAATAAACATAAGGAACCTTTTTGCAAGATATATATTTTTGACGAATATATTTTTATTTTTTTGCGCAATTGTTTTTTTTTTTCTTTTTGCAAAAACTTGACAAATTGTCTTTAAATAGAAATAATTTTCCTTAGATACGATTAAAATGATTACTTCATATATGGTAATATAATATCTTACAAAATATTTTCAATCCCACACATATACAATAACACCAAATTATATTGTTTTTCTTTTAAGAATTTATTTTTTCTTTTTTATATATTAATATTTATTTCTTTTTTTTACAATTTTTAAATTAATATTCAATGTAAATTGAGTACTAACATTTTTTTTCATATAGAATTTTTTTTTTTTTTTTTAAATAATAAGTGCGTGAAATTAATTTTCATGGTGTTGATTATATTTTTTTTGGGGGGAATTGTGAGTATGTAGGATGTTCTTGACAATAAGTGGGCATATCAAATTTAACAAAATTAATGCGATCTTGCCATATCATCAACTGACAACCTCACCAAAAATGGATACGACTATTTTCACTTTATTTCAAAATATAAAAGAGTATTCATTTTTGGTAGTTAATATTATTTTATAAATTTTTAAATTGTGTACCATGCCAAGAATTAGTAAATAATATTTATAAATTTTTTTAAACATTATTTTTATTACTATAATAATAATAATAATAATAATAATAATAATAATAAAAATAATAATTATAATTATTATTATTAATAAATAATTTATTAAATATTATTATTATATTCTTCATGGTATTAAATTTCAAAAAATCAAAATCCAATTTTGGGGTATTAAAAAAAAAAATTTTAAAAGAAAAAGTAAATTTTTTAATTTTGGATTAAGAAATAAAAAATTGTTTACAGGAAATTTGTCAATGGCCGCGTGGTCGTAAAACAAAAAAAAACAAAAAAAGAAATGTTTAAAAGAAAATCCTCGCTATAGATAAATTATTGTGCGTAAGTCTCAAGAGATATTTTCGGCTGTATGGTCTTCGGGTGGAGGCGTCAGCGCCACAATTCTCAAGTCGATGTCTTTGGCACATTGCCAATTTTCATTTAAAGAGTCAAAATTGCTCAGTTTTTTTCTTGTTTTTTTTTTTTGAAGATTTTATTGTATTTTACAAAATATTTTAATTTTCATATTTTTTTAAATTTTTTCTAAAAAAAAGAAAAAAAACTTTATTTGAAGCAATCAAATTTTTCTTGAATCAACCAAATTAATGTATTGCTGATTAAACTTTTGGTTGAATCAACTAAAAGTTTATTTGGTTCAATCAAATTTTTTCTATAATTGAAAAATTTATTTGAATTAGATAAATATTTATTTGAATTAGATAAATATTTATTTGAATCAGATAAATATTTATTTGAATGAAATAAATATTTATTTGAATGAAATAAATATTTATTTGAAATAAAAAAAATTTTGATTGAAACAAAAAAATTTTCTTTGAAACAAACAAAGTTTGAAATAATCAAAAAAATTGTGATAATACAAAAAAAATGGTACATTTGATTAAAAAGATAAAACTTTTCTTTATATGTTAATAATAAATTAATTATCACTTACTGTAAGTGTAATTAGATAAGTGCGCGTTTATGAAAATTTATATCGAATGTCAAACATATGATATTAAATTTCGCATGTCATTTTAATAAATGGATATTAAATCGTTATGATCGGAATTATGAATAAATAGGTTCCCACTTATGTTTTGCTATTAAAAGCGAAAGAGATTTGATTTGTCAGTGTCTTTATAATGTCAGTCTCTAAGGTAAATGTCAAAACATGAAAGGAGGAAATATCTAATACATAATAATATATTCAACCATAACAAAAAAAAAAAAAATTTTCATCTGATAAACTTTCATTTTTTTTTATTGTTAATTCTTTTACAAAAGGGATTATTAATTTTTTTAATTATAGAATATTTATTATTGTTTTTAATATTAATTTTTCTATTATTTTATTGATATTTTCTTTTTTTAAATTTAATTTTCTTTTTATTTTAATATAATTTTAATTTAATTTTAGTTTTAATTTTTTTTTTATTTTAATATAATTTTAGTTTAATTTTAATTTAATTTTTAATTTTAATTTTAATTTTAATTTTAATTTGTTTTATTTTTATTTTACAGTAAAAAATTGACTTCTATATTCACTTACTGCGAGGATGGGTTTAATCCAAAAAAACTAAGTCGGTTGATACCAATTAATACACTGAGAAAAATTTAATTATGACAAATAATTAACAAATAATAATTTAATTTTGCACTGAGGATCGATATTAAATTTACTTTTTAAATGTATTATTGATTAAATCGATCGCGAAGATCGAAGGATGATAAATGTTGGACAGAAGTCACCGTACGAGAGGTCGTGTGAGGCTGCCTGACCAGAACTGGCCTCATCTACTGGTCCACCATCTCTATCTCTTTCTTTTCGTTTTTCTTCCCTTCTCGCTTTTTCTCATTTGAAATACTTCGTTATATTTCACGAGGAGGAATGACACACGCAAACATGTATAAATTTATATATATATATATATATACACGAGAGAAGGGTGAAACAAGTAGAAGGTTACCGTCACACTTGCCAGACTTGGGATAGCAAAGAAGCATGCGCGCTAAATCCCGCGCGAACGAGATCAAATCTTATAAGCTTCACTTCCGAGAAACTTTCAAGTTGACACTTCACTGATTTCAACCGCGACTCTTAAATTAACATTTATTATTCCTTATACTGTCATTAATGCTATTAATAAATCCATAGAATTATAATTTTTCTTTTTTTGCTAAAAATTTTTTTTTTAATGGAATATTAATTATTATTATTATTATTATTATTATTTAAACGTGATAAAAAGCCATAGAATTATTTATTATTTCCATTTTTTTTTCTTGCTACAAAAATTTTTCCGTTAATGGAATATTAATTATTATTTGAGTGTGATAAAAAAAAAAAAAATATTAATTAATTTTTTTTTATCAAAGAATACACATTAGCAACAACCTTATAATTGAAAAAGAATTTACATTTTTTATGGCATTTTATTAAAATTCATGCATTTAGACGGAATATTATTATCATAAACACCGGAGGGCATATTTATTTTACTTGCAGACATTATATGCATTTACATTTTTATATTGCTTCTCTCTTTACAGAAAATATTAATTCCGAGGTGAAAATATTATTTTCGCATGTCAAATATAAAAATGTAAATATTTTTTTTTTTTATATAACAATTTCATTTGTTATATAACAGAAATAATGCAAATTTGACAAAAAATGGAATTTTTAAAAAAATATTTATAATATTATTAAATACGTTTTTTTTTTATTTAGAACATTTTTTTTTATTTTGAACTGAAAAAAAATATTTTTTTTTTGCTAATAAATAAGAAAAAAAATTCTCGTTTTACTAAAATATGAAAATGTTTATTAATACTTCCGGGATTTCTATAAACTAGCCTATGAGTATAGATCGCGCATAACGCCCACGTTGGTTTTTTTTTTGCCCAATAAGTACAAAAGGTACATTACGTATACATATATATATTTATGTGTGCTCAGTAAACACTTGAGGAATGCCAAATGCTTGTATGAATTCTAAGTAAAAGTCAAGAATAAATTTCAGTAAATGTAGGCACGCACCTACGTTATATTCTCCTCAGCAGGTCAAAGTCAAATATGAGAAATTGAAATAAGGCTAAATTTCCATTTCAAAATTTTTATATAGGTAAAATAAATATTTTTTTCTGTTTGGTAAGCAGAGAGTAAATGATATCACTGGAGAACTTTTTTTTTATAAATTATTTTTAAAAAAATATCTCACAAAACAATTTTTGATTTAATTCCGTTCGATTCCCGTTGTAATCAGTTGTTTTGAAAGTGGGTTTTGTCAAAAAATAACCTGGCGTAATTCAGGAAAATAAAAAAAAAGTAAAAACAACGTAATAATTAAATTTCAAAATAACTTTTTGATTTCCGTCGTAATTTCATATTCGATTTTATCAAAAAATAGCCTTGCATAATTTAGATGAAAATTGTTCATTAAAAGGGATTTAATTTATTTATGTTAATTAGAATTGTTTATACTGAAAACAAAATTTCTTTGATAATCGGTTACATTATTAACAAATAAATATTTACTTGAACCAAATAATTTTTATTTTAGTCAATTAAATAATATTTGTTTTAAATACAGAAATTATTGGTTTAAATAAAAATTATTTGTTTTAAGTAAATATTTATTTGATAATAGTCAAGTAACCGATTACTTGGATCAAATAAATTTTTTTTCACCGTAGAATTGAAATAATTATTTATTAGAATTACACTAGTTCTTCAAAATTATTATTTATTTATTTATATTTTGTTTTACTAGAAAATAAAAATTAAACTAATTAAAAATTATTAGGGTTTATATTTTTATTACAAATAAACAAATTTAAAATAAAAATAAATTTAGAAGAGCGCCTAACTCCATCTCATGGATTTCTCACTAATTAACTTTCTCATTCTCAACAATCGGTAAATTCACTTTTCGACGGTTTAGATAAATTAGTATTTTACTTTTCCTTTCATTGATAAATTATTGAAATAAATTTCTGTAGATAATGTTATTCTTCATAGGTAAAACCAAGGAGATTCTCCATGGATAAGACATCGTTGTAATTCATGTTAGGTGTAAAGAGATGGCACGAAAATCTTGTCTAAATGGTGCTGCTATCGTCAGTTAATTTTTTTAAATGTTACGAATTGAAATTTAAAAAAAATTCATTTTCTTTACAAATTGACAATTGAGAAATATATTATTTGATATTAAATTAAAAATATTAAATAAATTTTAATTTAAAGCATCAAAGATGTTTTTATTGGGCTTATAGAATATTTATTTGGTTCCAATTCGGTGCCTTTCAGAAAACAATGTTAAAAACTACATTCAAGTTTTTGTATTATGAATTTAGTGAAATAATGAATGACACATTTATGTCTGATGTAAAGTAAATTTATTTATAGGTAACTTCATAATACTGAAGTAAAGATAAATTGAATAATACACCAAATATATATAAATATCTATCAATTATTTACATTGAGGGTTCGTAAAATATTCCTCGAGTGGTATATTCACTTTAGATATATATATATATGAAGGATATCTTCAGTTACCTCAAAATACTCTAGAGTTCTCGGATTACCACATCCATCTTCCGATGGTTGTTTGTGTTATCTCATGTTTGAAATCTGGAACGATCAGATACTATTTAATGGTGAGTAATGTTAGCATTCTTGATGGTGTAGGAATGGATATCTTCAATATCTCAAATATCGAGTCGTTCAACCATCTCTCTTCGAAAATGATTTAATCATCCCTCTCTGACAACTCTCGCACTTCCATTATTCCACATCTGTTTCGACAAAACTATAATAGAATCATATTGTATATAAAAAAAATTATCCTACTTTTAGCTAATAATGTTTGAAAATTCTTGAATGGTATTCTCTCAAATTACTAGGGACTACTAGGAACTACTAGGGACCACTAGATAACTACTAGTAATTACTAATAACTACTACTAGAAGTTATTAGCGACTACTAGGGACTACTAGAAATTACAAGGGCCTACAAGGTATCACTCGCGACTACTAAGTATCTACTAGCAACTACTGGTAACTCCTAGAAACAACTATGGACTACTGGGGACCGCTAAGTAACTACTAGGAAAACTAGAAGTTGCTAGAGACTACTAGGAACTACAAGGAGTTACGTAGTAGTGCCGAGTAGCTCCTAATGGTCCCTAGGAGTTACCTCGCAGTTCCTACTAGTTCCAAGTAGTTCCTAGTGGTCCCTAGTAGTTCCTAGTAGTCACCTAGTAGTTCCTAGTAGTCCCTAGTAGTTCCTAGTAGTTACCTAGTAGTTCCTAGTAGTCCCTAGTAGTTACCTAGTAGTCCCTAGTAGTTCCTAGTAGTCCCTAGTAGTTCCTAGTAGATCATAGTAGTTACCTAGTAGTCCCTAGTAGTTCCTAGTAGTTCCTAGTAGTTACCTAGTAGTTCCTAGTAGTTACCTAGTAGTTCCTAGTAGTTACCTAGTAGTTACCTAGTAGTTCCTAGTAGTTCCTAGTAGTCCCTAGTAGTTACCTAGTAGTCCCTAGTAGTTCCTAGTAGTTACCTAGTAGATCCTAGTAGTTACCTAGTAGTCCCTAGTAGTTCCTAGTAGTTCATAGTAGTCCCTAGTAGTTACTAGTAGTTCCTAGTAGTCACCTAGTAGTTCCTAGTAGTTACCTAGTAGATCCTAGTAGTTACCTAGTAGTCCCTAGTAGTTCCTAGTAGTACCTAGTAGTTCCTAGTAGTCACCTAGTAGTTCCTAGTAGTTCCTAGTAGTTACTAGTAGTTCCTAGTAGTCACCTAGTAGTTCCTAGTAGTCCCTAGTAGTTCCTAGTAGTTACCTAGTAGTTCCTAGTAGTCACCTAGTAGTTCCTAGTAGTCCCTAGTAGTTCCTAGTAGTTACCTAGTAGTTCCTAGTAGTTCCTAGTAGTTACCTAGTAGTTCCTAGTAGTTACCTAGTAGTTACCTAGTAGTTCCTAGTAGTCACCTAGTAGTCCCTAGTAGTTCCTAGTAGTTCCTAGTAGTTCCTAGTAGTTACTAGTAGTTCCTAGTAGTTACCTAGTAGTTACTAGTAGTTCTTAGTAGTTACCTAGTAGATCCTAGTAGTTACCTAGTAGATCCTAGTAGTTACCTAGTAGTCCCTAGTAGTTCCTAGTAGTCCCTAGTAGTTACTAGTAGTTACTAGTAGTTCCTAGTAGTCACCTAGTAGTTCCTAGTAGTCCCTAGTAGTTCCTAGTAGTTACCTAGTAGTCCCTAGTAGTTACCTAGTAGTCCCTAGTAGTTCCTAGTAGTCCCTAGTAGTTCCTAGTAGATCATAGTAGTTACCTAGTAGTCCCTAGTAGTTCCTAGTAGTTCCTAGTAGTTCCTAGTAGTTCCTAGTAGTTCCTAGTAGTTACCTAGTAGTTACCTAGTAGTTCCTAGTAGTCCCTAGTAGTTACCTAGTAGTCCCTAGTAGTTCCTAGTAGTCCCTAGTAGTTTCTAGTAGTTACCTAGTAGATCCTAGTAGTCCCTAGTAGTTCCTAGTAGTTACTAGTAGTCACCTAGTAGTTCCTAGTAGTCACCTAGTAGTTCCTAGTAGACCCTAGTAGTTCCTAGTAGTTACCTAGTAGTTCCTAGTAGTTCCTAGTAGTTACCTAGTAGTCCCTAGTAACATATTAGTTCCTAGTAGTTACCTAGTAGTTCCTAGTAGTCCCTAGTAGTTACCTAGTAGTCCCTAGTAGTTCCTAGTAGTTACCTAGTAGTTCCTAGTAGTCCCTAGTAGTTCCTAGTAGTCCCTAGTAGTTCCTAGTAGTTACCTAGTAGATCCTAGTAGTCCCTAGTAGTTACTAGTAGTTCCTAGTAGTCACCTAGTAGTTCCTAGTAGTCCCTAGTAGTTCCTAGTAGTTACCTAGTAGTTCCTAGTAGTTACCTAGTAGTTACC